TGATGGAGGTATGTTATATGAATATTTTTGTTAGGTTTGTAGTGAACATATGTGCCTGTATTTACAATTGTGTGATTGCCTGTTGATACAAGTATAACAGATCAACCTCTCGGTGTCCAAAAAGGTTTGTGATATAAATATATATATACATTCATACAAGAGTACGAGTATGCATATTAATTTGATTTTGTACTGACTTATTCGTAATGCTTGACATCCTCTGTTAGTGTCCCAACGACGCACACAACTGCCATTAGTACAACAAAGGGACATGTCCATGAATCCTGCTAACATTCAAGAAGGTATGTGTTTGTGATATATTCATGTGTATATTGCGAATGTAAACTAGTCAATTGACGGTCTTCTTTGTTATATGTGTGTTTGTTGTCTCCTCGTTTGTTGTACAGATCTAATGTTGGATAGAACGCTCGATGTACCAGAACATGATGGTGATCGTAAGAAACGTTCTGAAGTTGGTGCAGACAAAACTAGCCAACCCGATAGCGACGATTTTGTCGATGACGTACCTCTATCCCGTTTGGCAGAAATCAAAAAAACCCGTCATGGTACCCGACGCCGTGCATGCTTACTCTTAGTACAACAAGGAGACACTTCTACGAAGCCCGATAAAACATAAGAAGGTAAAATTTTACGAAATACCATATGTATATCGTATATTCAATAAATTTGAATCTTTATTTTGTTGTACATATACAACGTTGAAGAGAAATCACGATGCATCAGAACACGCCGGCGGGCTTCCGAAGCGTTCCAAAGTTGGTGCACGCACGAGCCAGTATGATAGCGATGATTTTGTCGATGATGTACCTATACGCTATCAGGCAGAAATCACAAAATCTCGGAATGGTATATGCTATTATTTTTTATTGTTTCTGGAGTTATATACATCAATTCATATATATAGTGTACTTGGTGATTGACGATCTTTTATCCTCTGTTAATTTGTAGATAAGGGCAAGCGCAAAATTGATGATACCGACATTATAGTCAAACATTCTGTTGATGAGGCTTCTGACGTTGATGTGAAAAGTGATGACGACGAAGTGTTTCCGAGTCTGTCTACGAGGACTTCAGCCGGTACGTTTGTCAAGGCGATTTTCTGTCTGTCAAATGTCAAGAAGAATGCAGTCCGTGAAATGGGCTTTGGACGTTTGTTCGAGTTGTCCATAACTACAACGCCATTGAAGATGGGTTTTTGGTTGGTAAACAACTTCAACCACCTGGACCGGAAGCTCCAGTTGTACGATGGGGAGAAAGTGCACGTCAAGAAAGAAGATGTATATGCTGTGTTTGGGTTGCCTCGTGGAGAGCTCGAGGTTAAT